AATCATTTCTTTATATTCATTTTCATATAATTCTCTTGATATTCTTCATCACACATTAGTGAACAGAAGCGAGATGTAATTTCCATTTCCTGCCCATAAGAGCTAAGTAGGTATTGTAATACAAGTTGAAGGGGGTTTTATTGTGCAAGGATGAACTACTGTTGGGTTTGACTGATTGAAGATGAACTTTGATGTGGCATATTGGAACGCTACTAAATGCAACTTACAATGCCTAACAAAAAATATATTATTTTATTATTGAGAAAATTTACTTTTTAAAAGGAGTATTTAACTCTCAAAACAAACAAAAGGAAAAGTATACATGGAGAACAAAACCAGGAAAGATGCACTCCAATCCATAAATTGTTGTTATCTCTGGGGAGTAGAATTGTGGGGAGAGGGTAATTTGCTGCATCATGCATCTCTGCAGTTTGGAGAATATTTACAGTGTCATGTTTTATTTCAGTAAGCAGAAAAAAGCAATGGATAAAAATTGCCATATATTTAACAAGTATTTAAGTCCCTACTGTGTACCAGGCATAATTAAGTGATTACTATAGAAAGTTTGAAAGCTGCATAAAAAAGAAGACTTTGGGTATGTGCAACAGAGAGAAAGCAACTGAGCAGTTGACAGTTTCTAAGGTACTTGTGGACTGCCCTCCACCTCTGGCTCCTAGATCTGTGGTTCCCACTGGATGCCTAGCGCCCAGCTGAACTCCAAGCTGGCTTCTTGACTGGCCCTTCCGGTCGCTGACTGTAACCAGGTGTGTCTTAAGTGCTAAAACATCTCTTTTGCAAGGTAAAGCCTAGAGGGTGCGAGGCCCCAGGTACTTTCACATGCTGATGGTGGGAATATACTTTGCTACAAATATTTTGGAGGACAATTTGGCAATATCTATTAAAAACCTTAAATATGTTCGGATGATAAAAATCAGAATACTGGTTACGTCTAGGAGGGTTATTGGCTGGGAAGGGGCTCAAGGGAGCCATCTGGGATGTTGGGAAGGTTCAACATCTTGATCTGGGTGATGGTTACAGGAATATAGTTATGTAGAAGCTCATCGATATGTACACGTAAGGCCTGTGCACTTTACTGTATGTTGATTAAAATGTTTTAATTGGGAAATATATTTGAAACGTTTGAACCAACAAGTCCACGGTAACATCGTATCCTATGGAAATAAGGATGCAAATATTTAGTTCATTGTGTTATTTATAATGGTGAAAAATTAGAAACCTCTAAAATATCCCATACCAGGGAATGATAAATAAATGATGTTCCATCCGTTTAAAATCATGTTATCAAAAATTTTGTATTGGTATTGGAAAACACTTATTTATGATATAGTGTTTGGTAACTGAAGCAGGTCACAGAATAGGAAGAAAACAATAACAAGTAAAGACAAGTACCAGCTTTATTCCCTGATGCTGTGGCGATTTTCCTGGTACTCAAAAAAAATGCCCAGCTGACGATGGGAACTAGTCAAGCTTCGTGGGCAAAATAACACCACCAACCATGATTCTCCTCTGATTCAGCTGTTTGTGGTGCAGGCACTGGGTACTAGGCATTGACCTAAGGTAACCTGGTGGGCACAACTCCAGTCTCAATTAGGGATGTTTGGACTCTTTCAGGTTCTCCATTATTCTGAAGCTCCTTGATCAACTCAAGTCTGCAGCTGAGAGGTAGGTGGTGGTAACCACCGTGGAGAGGGAATGGTTAGGATGTAAATAGGTATGTGTGTGTACACGTGTCTGTGCATTTGTGAATACTTGTGCAGCCACTATTTCAAATATGCATGAATGCATGTATGTTTGTGTACACATGTAGACATGATCCCTCTAGTTTGCATCCCCATATTTGGAATCAGGAAGGTACTATGGTATTTTAAGCAGTCAAACTGATCATCAAAATAAGGGCATGATGAAGTGCTATGACTATTCCCAGGGCGAACGTATTAGATGCAGAGCGCCATCTGGCATTTTTCTAGTGGTCTGAAGGCTTCTGGGGAGCGCGCTCATCATTGGTTTGAAGAAGACGGAGAGAAGCAGGCTGCAGCCCCATTGGCAAACGTTTCCTCATGCTATAAAACAGTTTGCAACCTAGGGCAACACTGTATGCTTGATTAAGCTTGCAATGAAAAGGATTTATTTTAAGCCATTTTAATAATTTCTTTTTTATCAGAAGCTAACCAAGCAGTTTTATAGTAGCCTTCATTAGCATGAAAGACCCGTTTCTTCATCTAGGTGGCTTGACTATTGGTAAATTTTACTATGAGCTAATTTATGTATAAAACCCACAAGTGTTCTGACATGAAGGAAATCAGAATAGAGCCCATGAAAATTCGCCTCTTGCGTTTTAATTGTCCATCTCATTCAGAGTTAAAATAAACTTTCTTTTGGAGGAAGGGGGGTCTCTGTGCCAGGCTCAGTTGAAATGTGCTGTGGTTTTTTATCCCCAAGTTCCCCTTCTAGTTCCTCCCCTTATCCCAGATCCTCTGACCAAACAAGCACAGCATCTCTGGGGAGAAGACTGCTACTACTCTCTGAGCTGCTGCAGCTGCTGCTATTGCCACTGCTACTGGTCTCAAAGTCATTTTTAACTTGACTGAGAGCCTGCTGTGTTCCAAGTCCCATACGGTACCCCGAGAGACAGTAAGAAGGAAATATACAGTATTCAGTTCTTTGAAATAGCTAGCTCCTCTAGTATTTTTTAAAATAGTGTTTCATTTTCACGCCAGATTCAGGAATATGGATGTTGCAAAAAGCAAGGCTCACCTCCATTAAGGGCACCTCCCCAGTTTACGGCTTTGATTATAAAGGTCAGATTACATACGCTTTCTGTGTCAATTATCCCGTAACGTGCTTCTCTCTAAAGTGAAAAGTCCTCATTCTACGCATCGAAACCAGCATAGTAACAAGTTTCTATTTGGCTTCTTTAGGGATCTCTAGCTGTCTCGTTGCTATTGGGGGGCCCAAATCCCCGAAGAAGGTGTGAAGGTGTCTTTTCCAGCCTGTATAAAAACCTCTTCAAGGCTACTTTCACAGAAACAAAATCATTTAATTATGAAGTACTCCTGAGAAATCAGTGCTGGTTGCAGGAGTTCTTCGCATTAAATATATGAGATATTTAGACTGGGGGAAGGAAGAGACTAGTAAACAGAACTGGAGACACACATGGCAAGAGTGTACATATGGGGTTTCTCTCTGCCTTTGTGGAGTTTATGGAGACTCTGATACATAAGCCAAACATGCTTAAGACACACACCCCTACAATAGTGGGCATCTTGTCTCTATCTAGGGCATGTATCACAGATTTCTAAACTGCATCTATAGTGTACAGCTGCTAATAATACCTGACATGGCCTTCAGCGTGGCCCCTGGGGTGCCCTGAGTTCTTTACAAAGGGCTTCCTTTTCAACCTTCAGGAAGCTTCTTTTCTTCCTTTGGAAGATGGGAAAGGGCAAGGGCCCTCGGTTCCATTTCCTGGATAAGGAAATGAAGCTTCGCAGTAGATTAGCAAGCTAGAGCTGGAAAGAACCAAGTACTCTCCTTCATCCCATCGACTCTCAGGAGTGTTTTATACTTGATTTGGGGATGTTTTGAGGGTGCACATGGAGAGAGGGTTGCAGCAGTCATCAGGGGGAGGTGGTTGGAAGGAGACCTGGCAAGCAGAACTTGGGACCTCTCACTGGGGCAGAATGAGTGCCTTCAAACAGGTGAATTCCCTGCAATGCCAGGCCCACAGGGTTGAGTTTCCAGAAGGAGCTGGAGCCCACTGCTCTCCCCTTCCTCACCTTCCTCCTCCCTTGGCCACCAGCCAGATATCTTGGGGCACTCCAAGGAGGCCTCATCCTGTTCAGCCCTTTTGGGGACATCAGAACCACCCTCTAGGCCAACAACGTAGTGATTCCAGCCCAATATCCTAATGGGGTCTGGGAGGATGGGTTGGGGAAGGACTTGGTTGTTCTCCAAGATCAGGAACATTCCTACCACATCCCCAGTTTCCCTTAGCGATGCACAGGGGGTCTGTCAGCCATGACTTTCTCACTCTTTCCAAGGCTACTTGTGTTTTCATCCTATTTCACCTCTTGGGGCTAATGACTTCCTCAGGTTTTCAATATACTAGATAGAGTTGCGTTTCTCTACTAGCTGCCGTAGCAGGAAGAGCACTGAGCTGGGAGTCCAACAGATCTAGGTTCAAATCCCACCTCTGTCACGTACTAGCTGAGTGAATACAGGAAATTTTCATCCCTTCTCTGAGACTCAGTTTCTTCAACTGTAAAATGGGGTTATCGATACCTCTTCTTCCTGCCTTGCATGGCTGCTGTGACGAGAAAATGAGATCCTTAACATAAAAGCACCTTGAACAAAAGCACAAACTCGGGCGCTGATGCAGAGTCATATTTGCTTTAGCTGAATCTCCTTCTAGCTCTTAGGGGGCTATTGGTTCTAGAATTCTCAGATCTGGTGAATAAGGCTGTGTTCCCTTGCTCCATCTCTGCATAATTTTATACACTCTAGTCACATCCCTTCCCAGCCTTCATCTTTCTAGACTAAAGAGTCTGCATTTGTTTAATCTATCTTCATATGGCAGCCCCCTCCACCCTCCCCCATCCTCTTGATTATAGAGTGGCCCTTCTCTGGATCATCTCCAGCTCCATTATGTCATTCTGGAAGCACTAAGACCAAACCTGCACAAATGTGTGTGTGTCTGTGTCTGTGTGTGTGTTCTCAGCTCTGAACCTCTTACTCTGCCCCCTCCCCAATTATAAATCCTAGAACAGGGTGCTTGCCCAAGATCCTCTCTCCAAACTACAGAGAAGACCGGTCGGCCCCAGGTTGTAGCCTCCCCCTCTTTCTCTACGCAGTCCTGGCCCCAAGGGGCTAAAACGGCTCCCTGTCTGGCTTGGGAGGCTGGGAGGTGGATAACTAGGATGGGGGGGCCGAGGGGGAGGGAGGAGGGGGGTCTTGCGCAAGCGCACGTCGCTGCTCGGACCGCCAATGCTGCTGCCTCCCGGAGCAGAGGGAGGCAGGAGAGGAGGGAGGGAGAAGAGGGGAAGGGAGGGGGAGGCGGCACTTGGGCTGCAGCTCGCAACCAGAGGCAGTCTCTCTCAGCTCTCGGGAGGGACGGGGAGCGCAGCCGCGGAGTAGGATGCTCTGCGGGGCGCCCTGAGCCTGGGGCGCGTGAAGCAGCTTCGGGGGCCGGGGCCACAGGGCAGCTTTCACCATGCATCAGTCCCTGACTCAGCAGCGGTCCAGCGACATGTCCCTGCCGGATTCCATGGGTAAGTCTAGCCGCCCTGCCTAGGGGCGGCGGCGGCAAGGGGTGAGTGCGCTGCCCCCTGGACTGCGAGCGCCCCGGCCGCCCCGAGAGCCAGGGAGCGGGAAGCGGGGCGAGGGAGGGGGGTCCGCGCGCCCCAGCGTCGGGGTCCCGGACCCGAGCCCCAGGGGAGCGGCCCGGCGGGGGCGGGGACGACGCGCGGAGATGCGAGCGCCCGGCTTGCGTCGGAGTATCCCTGCCCCGGAGTGCGGGTGTGTGCGTGTTTGTGTGCGTGTGCCGACAGTCTTGCAGCCGGTGGTAAATCCCAGCTGTCTGGGGATCAAAACACTTCCCTGCAACCTGCGCCTTCGCTTTCTATTAGACGCTCCCTCTTTGCAAAGTCCCCGTCACTTCTAAGAGCTCACGACTAACGAGAACTAGAAGAAGCAGGGTCCTCGCCCCCTCCCAACTCTGTCGAAGCTGCCCTGAAATTCAGAGCTGCGGTGGGGGAGGCCTGACTTGCACCTCGCTGATGGGGGGGTTTGCGCAACCCTGGGGGATGGGCGGCGGGGGGTGGGGAGAAGAAAAGGGGGGCTGGCAGGAGGGGAATTCCTGAGGAATCACTCAAGACCGCCCAGCCCTGCCGTCTGCAGCGGCAGGATCAACATTCCTTGAATTCGATTCCTATTTTGCTCCAAATGCCCGGAATTGTGCGTGAGTGTGAAAAAAGAGGGGGGACGACGAGTGAGAGCGCGAGAAAGAAAGCGAGCGCGAGCCCGCGCGTCTTCTGAAGTCGCGCTTTTCCTCTCAGGGTGGAAGGGAGAGGGAGGAGGGGGAACCCACTAGCCTGATTTGGTTCAACACCTTTCCTCATGAAAAGTGGGGGACAGCTGCCTCCAGGCACCAACCTGGCTGCCCCTAGAAGCTGCTTTTTGGTAGTTACAAACAAACAAAAACCCCAGTCCCACTCAGCGGTTAGGCACCTTCCCAAGTACTATGATTTCACTGGGCGGAGAAATTAATTTGGAGCCCAGGAGAGCGGGAGGGGATTGTCAAACCATGATCCCACCTAACCTTAAAATTCGCCTCGGATACACTTTAACCAAATCGAACTCTCTCTTTCCAACATACTTTACATTCTGCAAAATCCCTCCGTCCCGAATTCTTGCCATACAGTCGGCTCAGGTCTTCTCCGAAGAATTTGCGGGAACATCGAGGGGAGGGGGCGGGGAGGGGGCTGAAACCCCTACGTGAGCTTCCTACTGCCTGCAAAAGACCTCGTCTCAACAGAATTCGTTCACCGGAGGGGCCCCAGAAAGTGTTATCTCCTGGATGGTGGAAAGATCCGTATTTCCAGTGGTTTTGCATATTCAGTATAAGAATTTGCTCTTTTTTTATTTTTAAGGGCGTAGTTATTTGCAACGTGGTACAAATGAGGCCAAGGACTCGGGTCCGAATCCAGAACCCAGCAGTACCAGCCCCCCCAGCTCTCTCTCCCGAACACACGCGCGCACACACACACACACACACACGCACACACGCGCACAAGCACACGCACACAGAATGCACTCCTCACCTTGGCCAGCTGTGGCGCCAACGCAGCCCTGGCTCCCCGACGCCAGGCCAGTGCGCGAGGGAGGGCTGGGTGGAAGAATGCGAGGTTTCGGCCGCGCGCATCCCCGCAGTGGGCCACAACCGCCTGCAAACCCGGCCGCCCGCGCCCGCCCGTCTACCCGTGCGGGAGTGGGCAGGTTAGGGACCCCGGGCGTAGAGCGTTGCTCCTTGGCACCCTGCTCTGTGGGTTGGGGAACGAGATGAAGAGAGCTCTTTCTTGGGCTCCCAGGGGCCCTCAGCCAATCATGCGTTTCCCGAAAGATCTGCGCAACAAGAAGATGAGTGGGTTTCGCCCAGCCCAGACTCGACACTGAGGGGAAAGAATCAGAGATCCCGTATGGACGCGCGAGCCCTCTCCACGCAGGCCGCTTCGTAAAGTGCGCAGACCGAGGGCACTAGCAAATTCCCCAGTCGAGTGGTAACCCTGGGTTTCCAGAGTTTGGACAGGGGAGTCTCCCCGGAGTTCCCTGGCGCTGGTCCCGCACAGCCCGGGCCTGAAACAGCGTCTAGGCTACTTAGGAGCTACGCCCACTTAACTCAGCCCCGGCAACGCCTCCTTCCCTTGCATGGGGGGGAAGGGAAGTGGAGGTGGGTGGGTTTAGTGTTTCAGCCTCCAAGGGCAGCATTTCTGAGGGGATTCCCTCTACTGGCAGGACACAACCGCAGCCAAAACAATAAAATATAAAACACACGGACACACACTGCACCAAGGTGCCTGCACTCTACTCTTGCTGGCTGGCTGGGGCGGAGCAGGCGCGTGGCTGGTAATTTGACTCCGGCGCCCCTTCATCCCCTCCCAGCTACCCCCATCTCCCTTTTGGCAACACCGCCCCCAGGCGCTAAGGCACCTCTACTACAGCGGGGCTCTCCTTCCCTTGCAAATAACATATTTGTGATTCACCGGTGGCCTTGGATGTCTCCGGTCAAAGAATTGCCCAAAGGGGGGATTTCAGCACCTTTAAGGAAATGTTTGGGAGACTGGCAGAGCCTTGAGGCTCTTGTGTGGGCAGCCACCTGTTTCCACCGATGCTCAAGGCTGGGACTTCTGGGAGCCTCCCTGTATGGCAAAGCTGACTCAGGTAAGCAAATCCGAATCGGTTCAAAGATCAGCCCGAAGAATTAGCCAGTCAGCAACAACATAGTGCACAGGACAGGATACTGGGCCTCCATCCTTGCTGCACTCTGACAGAGATTACACACCCTATAATCAAGGGGTGGAATCAAGAACAGGTACTAGGTGAAAAAACAAGTGAGCAGAGACAATCATCCTACCTTCTGGCATCCCACACCTTGGTTCCCGTCAGATACGTAATCCTGGAACTGGTGGACATCATATGGGTGGTGGACCAGACCCACAATTACAACTGTACTTGTAGCAGTTATAATTAATATACTTACTGAGTGACGTATCTAGGAACTCAGGGACATGAAATAATGAGTGATTAGAGTGAGCTTGATCAAGAAAAACTTCTCGGAGGAGGTGAATTTTGAGAAGGTTTCAGAAGAAGGGAGGGACTCAGATTCAAAGACCGCAGTGCAGGTGGGGCTCTGACCAGGGAGGGGACTCGGAGGAGGGAGAAGCTGGCTGTACTGGGAAGGGTGGAGACAGCAAATAATTGGGCCCTTCTAGAGCAGAGCATCCTGGTCGTCACGAATCTGGGGTGGAGGAGGGGCACTGCAGAGAGGGAGGGCTGCAGTAGTTCTGCAGGGAGGCTGCTGGGGGCGGAGGGGGGCAGGCAGTGCCAGTAATGGGATTCAGACTCTCCCACTGCTGTTGGTTGCAGGGCTGGTTGTTTTTGTCTAAACAGAGAGATACTGGGCGCCAAGTAGACAGGCTAGTGAGAGCCACTGGGGTTGCGACACTAGTTGGCCAGAAAGCTTTTAGATCTGGGGAGCCCTTGGGTATACCCTATTTTAAAAAACCAATTCTATGAGCGTAGCCCATATTCATTCTCACAGTTCCCCCCTACAGCCTTTTTGATTAGAAAGGAAGCTATTCTGAGATGTTGACTTTTGTTTATTCAACAAGTATTGACTGCTCACTAGGTATCAGACACTGTGATGGGCACTGTTTTCACATACCTGCTGCTTTATTGAAGTACCTTATGGTGTCTGAGGGTTTTTTTATATGTTGATTTACTAAACAAAATCGGAATAAGATGTTCCTGTATTTACGGGAACATCTAAGGCAGGCCCCAAATTGTACCCTAATAAGAACAGAACTCTACTTCTCCCTTCTTAAATAGAACAACAGCCAGGAAAATGTCCTAAGTAGACACAAAGAGCTGCTTTTTGGGAGCCTGGGCCACACCTTTAGAGGACAGGTGCGTCTTGCTCTAAGTAGATGTGACTTTTCAGTCAAATTGACACTAAAGATAAATGGAAGGGATGATTCTTCACTTTTCAAAGGGTTTCACCCTGGGGTTCCTTAAAATGGTCAACTCCCCAAGTGCAGCTAGAAGTAATTTCATTTTACACAATTTTAGTCCTTATAGTGTAAAATAAGGGGTGACTTGGGGGAGGATGTGAGGGGACAGAGAATAGATATTCAACCTAGTGATGGGAGAGTTTTCTTAGGAATTTTATCCCAAACTAATCCTGTCTGGAGGCAAGGCCCCTGTGGAGCTGCAGGATCTCTGCCTGGGTTTCTCAACTGACTGGATTTTCAATTCAGGTTCCAAAGCAGGAAAAAAAAATAGATTTTTCAAATGACACCATGTGGTTTGCTGAGTCACTTTTCTGACCTGGCTCCTGTTCTTTTAAGAGTTAGAGTGATATTTGCAAAGGAGACCCAAGAGCTGTGAATAAGATCAAAAGCCAGTTGGCCGGGAAGGAGCAGGCGAGTGATACTCCGAATTTAGAAAGACTGTATACACACACACACCCACATCTAGTCTCTAAGGTGACATGTTTCCCCTGTGAGGTGTTGAGACACTTTGGTGTGCCACAAAGATACCCTTGTTTCCAGATGTTCCCTCACTCTCTTTGGCCAGTTTGGGGTCGTGGGGGGGAGGGCTAAGATGGTGTAGAAATGCAGACAGGGGTGGGGGGCGATGTTGGTAAGTTTATGTTATTTAGAGCCCCTCTGTGGAGCCAACTGGCAGATTCACTGAGAACTGGCTATCATCAAATGGACTTAGGGATCCTGGTTTGGAGGCTCATTTAAGGTCCCTCGAAATCTAGAGGAGGGGTAACTAACCTTCAGATAAACAGAAGAAATAAATCCCCGCTCTTCTCCCCCCGCACCCTTCGCAGTCTGTGTCTCCCCGCTCTGCTCCTCTGTTTACCAGCAGTCAGCTCTCCATCTGCATCCCAAATAGCCCTCTCACACAAAGGGCCCTGATGTCACAGGTGTCTCCAGCGGTCCCGTTGTTTTTCCCCCTGGAGGCTGGACTCAGGCCCCCCAGGAGAGGAGCCTCGTTTCCCAACTCACTTTACCTCTCCTCCCAGGGTGCGATATGGCGCTTTAGTCTGTGGGTGCCTCCAAACGCTCAAGCCACTTCTACATTTCGATGTAAAATGGTCTTGGAATAGTACCGTATTAGAAATGACCCTGATAAGTCACGGCCCTCACTTTCGAGGCTGACGTCAGGGGAGAGACCGCCAGCCCCTCCCACCTCCCTTGGAGCCTTGGGCAGGGACCGCACTGGGGGAGACGAGACGGATGGTGGGGCTCACCCAGGGTGGCACGTCTGACGCTCTTCTTCCCTCGAGGAGGGGGCATCTGCTGGGGGCTGCAGAGCCAGCCACAATGCCTCCCTCTCAGCACCATCAGGCCTCCTGGGTCTCCCTGGTTTTCTCGCCTCCCTCCCCCTTCCTTCATCCCCTCTCCCCTCCCTCCCAGTGGTGCAGTCTGGGCGGCTTCAAAGGCAGCTGCTTCCTGAGGCTGCAGCGAGGCCTCCCAGAATGGCGGGGTCCTGCGATCAGTCCCAAGTGGCCTCTTTAGGCCCATAAATGACAGCCAAGCCACCTGAGTGGGCAACCCTGACATAAGGCTCCCCACTAGAGAACTGGACTCTCACAGCAAGTCCCCCAGTTGCTTATTTTTATGAGAACTCCTAGGTGTAACTCATCCCTGGTATGTCCTGTTGAGAACCCCCTCCAGAAAAAACGCACGCAGAGTGTTGAGCAGTGCTTCATTCCTTAGAAAAAAAAATTAAATTCAAAAGCGAGTCTAGATACCATTTTTCTATCTGACTTAATAAGCCTGTTTTCGAAAAAAAATATTGGTTTGCACTATCATGTCCGATAAGCACTGAGTAGAAGAACGGGTTTCTCATCATTTGTATTTATGTCACCCTCACATAAGCCTAAACGGTGTAAGTTATAATCCTCCCCATCTACCTCCCCCGATACATATCTTTGTGGACTAATGGCCTCCAAACACTTACTTTATTACACACATTTGTTATGTGGCAAATCTTGCCAACACACCATTTTTAAAGTTTATACATGAGGTGGCAAATGTCAGAAATAAATGAAAAAAAAATCCCAGTACCTGGCTTGGTTCTGATATTTACACTGAAAATGAAATTTCATATCTCCATCTTATGAAAAAACCCTCCTTAGTTGCATATTGGCCTTAAAATATTTTCATTTAATATCTCCACAGTACACTTTCCATCTATCATGTACCTTATAATTTGGCTTAAAAAAGAAACACTTCACTAAGTGGGTATGATACATCTTTTATCGAATGCGTTTACTTTTTATGTAACTGGTACAATTTCTTCTGTTGTTTATTTTCAAACTGGAAACATATATATATTATTGTAAACGTAACACCTGATGACTGCAAAAAACTAAAGCTCCATCTCTTCCCCATAATCCCACTCCCCAGAGATAACCCCAGTTACCAGTTGAAGTAGGAAAGGAAAACCTTCCTAGTGATTTGTTTCTGGAAGTCCATCCCTTCTCCAGCCGAAATGAGCAATTTCAGTTTCTCTGTGTGCTTTCAGGAGCCTTTAATCGGAGGAAACGAAACTCCATCTATGTCACCGTGACTTTGCTTATCGTGTCCGTATTAATTCTCACGGTGGGCCTCGCCGCAACCACCAGGACCCAGAATGTGACTGTTGGAGGTTACTACCCGGGAGTTATTGTGAGTATCAAAGGCATAGGTAGGTCTCAGTAGCTTGCTGGCTACAGACATTTGGTTCTACTCTGATGGTTTTCAATTCTGTTTGAGTTTCTGTGTTTGCTCAGATTTCCTCTGGGCTGGTTTAGGAGAGCACTGAACTAAGACTCAGAAGAATCCCAGCGCCATCCCTAACTAGCAGTGTGATCCTGAGCAGGTCGTCTCACTCTTTAGGACTTTGGTTTTCTGGTCTAGGACATGTTACTAATGAGCAATGTTAACCTTAGGCTGAGGTCCTTTCCTCTCTGGGCATCTGCTTTCCTAGATATATAATAGGGGTCACCTGACCTTACCTGAAATCTGAGGACCCTTGCAGCTTGACAGTCTGTGACGCACAGCACTGATCTCCAAAGTCATCCTGCCCTCCTCTCAGGAAAAATATGTGGGATGCTTACTCCTCAAATATGTGTAATTATTCATTTACAAATTATATGCATATTCATAACACATACAAAAATGGAAGTTCAAAAATTAGATGAAAATGAAATACACTTTAATTTTTAATATCTTCATACTAACACTAGCTAAAATTTCAAGGAATGGTATGCACTTCGCATGAAATCTCATTAAAGATAGTGGCTGTAAGTCGTTATTTCAAATAGCTTACTAGATAATTTTGAATATTTTGTGCTTTCTTCTCAGATATGAACAGATTGTCATGAGTTCCAAGGGTCAGCTCTGTCATTTTCTCGCTGTGTTACATTATTAGGGTCATCTTCAACTCATGGTTTATCAACAGGAGTCTTTCCAAACTCCTTGTCCATTTTCTTGGGACTAGTTTAGTGAAGACTAGATAAGACTATCCGGGCACACGTGGTGGCTGCCCCACCACCAACCCTTTGCTGCTTGGAACCTGCCCTCCTCCAGAACGATAGCTCTCGCCTTGTCACCTGACATTCACACCGAGGGAGGGCGCCAGTGACAGTCTGTTCACTGAATATTTGTAACGCGTAATTTCTTTCTTATTCTTTTAGATAAACAAAAAATAGGAAACAAGAGTTCAAATCATTTCTTTCCATACTTCAGTGGATTGTTTTACGGATCCCCGGGCTGCATGCAATCCACTCTGGAAAGCGCTGAACTCTTTGCATACAAAACCTCATTTTATATCAAATCATCATGTTGTATATGAAATGAAATGAAATATATACCATTTTATCTGCCAATTATACCTCAATATAATTGAGGAAAAAAGAAAAGAAAAAGAAAACCAAACCAAAACCTCATTTGGATCTACACACACTGCTATCGAACCCTAAAACCTAACTCTAGAGGTTGGATCGTATTTTGAATATCAACTAAATGACTTCCCAATTGTAACTGCTAGAGAGCGGGAAGGAAGGTTAGGGTGGGTTTTTGTTGTTGTTGTTTACATTTTAGGTTATCAGGGAGGGCAGACGGCTTTGTTGCTGTTGTTTTGTTTCTTTTCTTTTTTACTCTTTTTTTGGAGTGGGGGGTGTTGGAAAGAGAAGCAAAGAAAGGGGAAGGGATTAAAGATGGATGCCTTTGACAAACCAGCGCCGGGAGTGACCATGCCTGACGCCTGTTGCCTAGGTCACCGATTCCGCAGTCAGCCGTCTCAATAGCCCTAGCGGAGCCGGGGCCTGACACTGGGGCCCAGCTGCTGAAGGCCGCCCGCCCTTCCCGGGAAGTTCCTTCGCAGCTCTTGAGCCGAGCCGAGGGCAGGTGTCCCACAGACACCGTCTGGTGCCCTCTGCTAAGCATGTGATGTGAGAACTCACCCGGTCCACTTCCTGTGGTGAGGCAAGAAAACCAGTCATCAGCAGAATTGGGTTTTATTTTTAAACACAAGAGGGGCGGGGGACAGAGGAAGGGGGGGCTAAGATTGCATTTTGGTGGCTTGGGAAAGCAATTTATAGGGTCTACGTGACTTCGTGGGCTTCAGGTAGCTGCATTTAGTAAAAGGTTTCCGACTGATGAGCAAATGCTCAAGCCAAGATTCAGACTCTCCCTGGGTGAGAGGAAGGTATTTTCCATGTCATTTAAGAGTAGCAACTACTATTCATGAACGGTGCTTCTGAACCTTCTCTGTAGAATATCTGCCTGTGGGTGGCTGGGTTGGAATACATTAACAAAGGAAGGAGGGCGCGTGATTGTTGTTATTGGAGTACCTGACGTTCAGCTAGCACTGGAAGTTGAAGCAGTGGGGGCGTGTGTCTGTGCGTGTGCGTCTGGCTAAGAGCTAATATGGAAATCTTAATAGGAGAGCCAGCCCTAGCAGTGTGCCCTATGGTTTAATCTTAATTTTTTTTGCTTTTATAGTTCCTGTAGATTGTTTCTTTAAAATGGGTTTTAGTTATAGGAAGTGAAGGGGGGAAGACTGCAGATCGAAGAGCAGAAAAATCCATTTGAGTTGATAGGTCAGATCATGTTATAACAAATACAATAAACAACTCATACCTATGAAACAATAAATGCCTGAGAATCCAGATTTATCCGGGACTGGGGTGCTTTCACTAATTGAATAGTTTGGTTATTAGAGAGGTATTATATAAACTCTAAGCCAGTGGTTTCCCCACCTTGGTGTGTATTTTAATAAACACCCCAGGGGAGTCTAATTCAGGTGGATTGGCAACCACCTGGAGAACTAAAACACAATAAATAGAATGGATAAAGAAGATGTGGCACATATATACAATGGAATATTACTCAGCCATAAAAAGAAACGAAATTGAGTTATTTGTAATGAGGTGGATAGACCTAGAGTCTGTCATACAGAGTGAAGTAAGTCAGAAAGAGAAAGACAAATACCGTATGCAAACACATCTGTATGGAATCTTAAAAAAAAATGTTTCTGAAGAACCTAGGGGCAGGAGAGGAATAAAGACACAGACGTTGAGAATGGACTTGAGGACATGGGGAAGGGGAAGGGTAAGCTGGGACGAAGTGAGAGAGTGGCATGGACATATATACACTACCAAACATAAAATAGATAGCTAGCGGGAAGCAGCAGCATAGCACAGGGAGATCAGCTCAGTGCTTTGTGACCACCTAGAGGGGTGGGATAGGGAGGGTGGGAGGGAGGGAGATGCGAGAGGGAAGAGAGATGGGAACATATGTATATGTATAACTGATTCACTTTGTTATAAAGCAGAAACTAGCACACCATTGTAAAGCAATTATACTCCAATAAAGATGTAAAAGAAAATACCCACAATAAACAAAGTATGCTTGCAATAAAACCAGAATGAGCAAAATGTGTCATTTTCAGATTCCACACTATCAAATTGGTCAGTTTGAATATAAAGATCATGGTATAGATTTGTGGGAAAATGTCAGGTTATTTGGAACTCTGCTGTTTTAGGACTCTGGTTAAATGTGCACATGAGAATTTAAAATTTTAAAACAAACAAATTAGGGAGCAGTTACTAGATTTAAAGACGACTTAAAGACTACTTACCATACAATTCATTTAAATATTGAGATCTCAGGCATTGAAAAATATAATCGCGTTTGCATAACTCTAAGTCATGCAAAACTTTTCTGAGCCATCTTTATTTTTCCAAACGAGATGCCCTTGTACAGTGAGGTGCATTATGATAGGGTGTTAGCTACTCTACCTGAGCTAGAATGTGGTATCATCATCCTAAGACATGTATGCAACAGGCATCTTTACAGATGTGCTCATCTGTACAGGCTAAAATGTAAAATTAAAAAAAAATTAAAACCAACACAGAAAGACAAACTGGCTTAGGATTTTTACTGTCCTCGAATGTTCAAGACATAGTCCGTTCCAGAAGCGTTCCAGTGAGCTTTCTACTCTGGAGGCCTAAAGAAAACCAAGAGCCTCGGTTGTATGAAGATGGAAAATGCAGGGGAGAGAGCCAGGTCCTTCTCTATAGCTCTCTAACCTTACATCCAGGAGAACAAGGCCTCTACATGTGTTTCCCATGCAACCCGCAAGATGGAGTTGGCCACCTGATCAGTGCTGAAAGCCTTTCACTCTAGAACCTTCTCCACCAGCTGTTATACTGCTAGGGCCCACACCAGCCTGGGTTTTCTTTTAGGAAAGAAACCAGGAGCTTCTGTCCCCTCTCCCAGGCGGGGGAAGGGGGGGGTGTCCAGTTAATTGAAAATTATATCAGAGTTGCCATGGGGTAGTAGGATACAGAGACGACAGGGATCATTCAAAACAGTCAATAGGTCAGAAACCTCTAGGCCAGCGTGGCTTCAGCTTCACATGTGAAGACTCTTGATAAATCCAAGAAAGTTTTGACTAACTTGAATGTTCAGGAAGTAGAAGGAGGTCTGGATAGTGGGATTTTGTGGTTTATTGTGAATTAGGTAGAATTTTTTTCTACCTCTTGTTGAAAATGTTTCTAAAATATAAGATCATTCTAAGATAAAGTTCCTAGCTAGTAAGTACATTTCAGAGATGACACTTGAGCCTTGATTTACTAGATAAGACTAACCTTCATTGGCTTCCTGTTGCCTCCTTAGCATTGTCATTCAAAGCTCTCTGAAGATGCCCTTGGCCTGGTCTCCCATACCTTTCTTTTACCAAAATTTTCAATTCACAGTCCCCTGAACATGACTTGGGCTGGAACGTCCTCCCTGTGCTCTCTCTCTCTGTTTATCCAAATGCTCTGTCCTATTCCAACTTAAAGACACAGCTGGGACATTTCTCAGCTACTGGGATCCACAGTGGTGTCTACCATCTTTGAACTCCCTACTGTAGATTCCTTCCACTCATAGTTCTTGGGAAATAGTCACGTTCTGCTTTGTGGGATGTTGGGCTTTGTCTACACAGGTCCACAATCCCTTATCTGAACCCTTGGGTGAGATGTGTTTGCAACTTTAGACTGTTTTGTTTTGTTTTTAATTTCAGAAAGATAATAGACTGCATACATCATATATTATCTAACATCCCAGTGGGGTCTTGAGATATACCCCATAATCAAGCACCTTCATCTTTCTACAATAAACTGTGAATTTTTACACTAAGTAGATAAACATTATAAAATAACCTCACGTCAGTTCAAGGTCAGGTTTTGCCACCAAGTTAGTTACCAAAAACCCTTTTGGTTTTAAGAGCTTTGTTGATTTCAGTATTACAGAAAGGGATTGTGGACCCATTATCTAATTACAGCTCCTCCAGGCCAAGTCTTGTTGGTCTTGGTATCATACCCCACCCCGCTTCCTGGCCTCCATATCACAGGTGTAGCACAGTGCCTGCCACAGAGTAGATGTCCAATTAATACTTGTTGAATGATTAATCCATTTGCACCTCAGTCCCAGTGGATGGGAATAGGCATAGATTATAGGGTGCAGCCTAAAAAGAGCTCTTGAAACTGAGTTCTCATGATTTGCCTTTTTTTCTTCTACAAGTGGAGGGCAGCCAAAACAAAGCAAACTGGTTATTTGTTCAGGTAATGGGGAGTCAAGATGGAGTTCCAAAGGTCTGAACATTCCATGATTCCGGGCAGTTCTCGAGCAAGGACCACAGAGCTTACCTTTCGGAGGCCTCAGGAGAGCAAACAGTTGATTAGAAGCAGCTGCCCATTTTCAGGAAATTCTGTTGATTTTTCCTTCTTTACTTTCACCCCCTCAGCTCTTCCTCAAATAGGACTTCTCACTCCATCCTTACAGGGAACTTCTTCCCTGGGGGGCAGAGGTGAAGGTCACTATTCTGCTAACACTGGCCACAAATACAGCAAAGTGTGGCTGGAAGAACACCAGCTGTTAGGGTGTTCTTGAGGGCTCGTCCTGGCCCTGCCGTGAACTTGCTGTAAGAGGGGATGAGCCCATACAATTCTCTAGGCCTCCGTTTTGCTATCTATCAAATGGGAATGATATGAGCTCCACCGAACTCCCTAACAGGACTGTGACCAAGGCAAGCGCTTCTTTAAATTCAAATGCTCTTCAAATGTAAGGTAGTTTTAGTGATACTGGTGAGTTAGTTCATAAACCTGTCATCCAGATGAATGAATTCTTCCAGCCAGGACTCAATTGATATTAGTTCCCCACCTGGTGAACTCTACCTGTCTTTGACCCCATTTATCCCCTCTGTGAGATCTGAGAACGACCATGTATATGTATTTAGCAGCCTACCTTATGCAGGTCACGCTACGTACATACCTTACCTCATTTAATCCTCACAGCAGTCCTGTGTGGTCATGACCATTATGATTCCCATTTAATAGATGAGGAAAACGAAGCACAGAGTGGCTAAAGAACTAGCCCAAGGTCACACAGTTTATAAGTAGCAGAGCCAAGGATATAATACAAAATGAATTATTCTCTGCTCCTTCAGCACTTTGTTTCTACCTCGCCTGTGGTCCTTAAGCCACAGTCTGCCTCTCCCTCACTAGACTATGCACTCCTGCAGGGTAGGGGCCATGTCATCTTATTTATCTCCCAAAAGTACTCAGTGAGTGTTAGAAAATGGAATGAGTTGGAGTGGAATAGAAATAGAATGGAAGGAAAGGGGAGGGAACTGGATGAATTAACTGGTTGGCCTGGGATTTCCAGTCCCAGAGCACCTTGTCTTTCCGGCCAATTCCATGAGGCTTCAGGCCACCTCTTCCGGTCACTGCCATCAGAGAGTTATTTGAGAGTGTCAGGAAGAGCGAGTGTCTTTGCTTCCCGTCTTAAGGCAAAGACTGCTGTTGAGGCTCAGAACATTCAGTGAATATCTGTGGAAACTGATGAACTGCTCAGTGAAAGGACTTATTTTCCATGTAAGAAACTGCCCTCTGACTTTCTTTCAGTCTCCACAAATGGCCCAGAGTGTCATAAGCACAGGCTATTCATGGAATTCTTCCTGAAAAATAAAACTGTGCAACATATTGGGAGGGGAGATAAGACAGAATACAAAACTCTTATGAAATAGAGCAGATAATGATAGGATTTGCCAGCTCAAATCAGGTTAGAGCTGCCCCAAAGTTAGGTGTCTTTAAAAATAGTAATAATAATCACTAGAACAATAACTCGTATTTACTGAGAACTTACTGTGTGCCAGGCCCTGTGCAAAGTTCTTTGACTGTATTGTCCTGGATAATCCTTATAAAAATCCTATAAGACAGCTACTACTATGGTCCCCATTTTCCAGATACGGAAACTGAGGTTTAGAGAGGTCAGTCAGTTTGTTCAAGTCGCACAGCCACAAGTGGAAGAGCTGGGGTTAGAAGCCAGGCTAGTCTGATGACCAGGTTTTAATCACTATACCTCATCACAACACATTTTAATTACATTTCAAATAAGACCAGGCGGGAGACAGGTATAGTTTAACCGTTGAGTGAGGATGTTCTCAGTAGAGTCTTGGACGGCATGGGTTACACCTTTATTCTCTTCAGCTTCTATTTCTCAAGAGGGGTTGCTGGCTGAGTGGCCCTGCAGAATGAGTCCTTGGAAATTTGTATTCATTCCTTCCATTCATTCTCTTCTTTCATGCTTAGGTTTCTGAGGCAAGCACCCAGTCCCCCTACACTGCCCCTCCAGGCTCCTGCCCAGCCCTTGGGTCCATTAGATTTCCAAGACTTGGTGTAAGGCTTGGGGGCCTCAGACTGAAAGAGATGTCCCTGTGAGCCAAGGTAAGGCGGCAGATGGAAGGCCAGATCCTTAGTGAGGCTCAAGAGAAGTGTAACTACATTGCTGGACTTGTGTTAAGATTTATTGGTCCATTCCCACCACTTTTTACTTCTTCCACTTTCACCCCTGACAGCAGCCATCGGTTAGTGATCATTTTCAGCTGAGAATGGCAGACTCAATCCACTAATGGCAGAACTGAGAGCAAAGTGGAATCTGCTACCCCGAGCCATCATCCCAGCCGCTTAGGCAGGGAAATTGTTTTTCAGGGTTTTACACCGCCATTTCTATTCACCCTTTAATGAATGCTTTCTGTCCATAAATGAAGCAGAGATGGAAGAAGAGGTGAATAAGTGCTAACATAAATGGCAGTGGGTCAACCACAAATACAGGCTTTCAAAAAATAGTTCTTTTTTTTTTTTAAGTCTAGGTTAAGGTGCTTGCTGATTTCTAAAGTACTTCCTGCGTTTGATTAGCATGTCTGATGCATCAGAAATCGCTATTTCAAACCTTTATTTTGTAATTCGTGCATCAGGATAGAAGGTCTCTTTTCAAAGAAAAGATAAAGATCAGACTATAATGCGTGCTTTTCACCATTATCCATCTCTTACTGACTCACCAGTCACATGCTAGGTAATGGATATTGAAATTGAAATAAGCAGCCTCTGAAAAGCTATGGTTGACTTTTACTTTTAGCTCCTGGGCACACGAGTTTCTTTTTAGGTGTGATTCATATCTACGAGGAAAAATTGGCAAATGGTGGGGGAAATACTTTTCTTACTCATACTGTATTTGTGTAACAGCTGCACGGGTTTAGCATCTGTACCCCGGGTATTTTCTGTTATCCTGAATTGTATCCCAGGGGTGGAACGACCGTGCGGTCAGGCTAACCATCTTCCCACGTGCTATCTGTGCCATGTTGCTTTGCAGCTCGGCTTTGGATCATTCCTTGGAATCATCGGATCAAACCTCGTGGAGAACAAACGGCAAATGGTAAGTTTTCATCGTTATAGAATCAAATTCTTCACCTGAAAAAGCTCAACATTTCTGTGGATAAGTGACACATTTCTTAAGGTTGCCCAAATTGGGCCACAAAAGAAACAGCTACTTTACTTTTCTCCTAAGCCTCCGGGGAACTTGTTTTAAAGTGACCCTGTGGTATGGGACTTGTTCTCACCCTGCCTGATGTTCCCTCAGTGGCCCAGCTAGTCTCCTTAAGTCACAGGGATGGAATAATCTGGATCTTGCCTTTTGCTTTTCTCCTCCTTCGCAAAGGAGTGTGCCAGCCTATCCAGTCAGGCCAGTTGTCCTCGCATCGGATGCCTTTGCGTCTTCGATTCCTGCTGCTGCAGCCCTGGCTCACTGGCGACCCTCACACCTTCCTCTCTGATGCATAATCTTGGAGAGGAGTTTTCGCAGAGGGTTCCTGCCTTTTAGGAGATTCCAATCTAGGGGACTTTAATTAACAGAACAAATATATTTAGGGCGCAAGAAGACGAAATGAAATTACGAAGCCAACCTCAAGTATTCCCATTACCCATACATAGTTCAAAGCTAAGTATGTGTAACGTTGAGAGGAAGGGTACGCATATAACAGGAGGTAAAACTCACAAAGTTCTATGTCCGAATGGGGGCCCGCAAGGGCAGACTGTTGTATTTTCTTGCTTCAGCCTGAGAAGGCTTCCTAGAGGGCAAGAGAAGACGGTACAGACCGAATTGCAAGCATATTGCAGTTTTATGGGCTGGTAAATCAAGATGCCTGGTGAGTTGTCAGATGGTGGACTGATTAGGCTTCCCCGTACAAGTCACTGTGGCATCTTGACTGATGCTAGGGTCTATTCAACAGCAAGTTTAATCAGATAACGTAATAGCTCCAGGGACAGGGAACTCTAACCGTGTGTTCTCCCCCCAGCAATGTAGGGAATCACCCTCAGAGGGGTTCTAATAGTTCTCTTCTTCCATTTCACCTGGGCTCTCCGCTGCCAGTTGTGTTTGCACTTTGGGTTTAAATTATTCAAAATGACAGGGGAGTTCTAATTGTACAGCTGATCATAGCATAGCTGATAATGCCAATTTCATGACATCTTTCATCCATTATTTACCAACTCTCGGTAGTGCTGTGAAGCGAGATTTATGGGGCGACGTTTCTGAACAACTCCCAAAGGAGATCAGTATTACCTTCTAGCCTGTGAGATGGGAGGACCTTAGGGTGGCCTTGACTGTGATTTCCTCCTTCTCCCTGGGGAGCAGCTTAATGCCATGCTATTTCTCTACTTTAGCCCCCAAACACCTCAAAGAGGGTGTTTTGAGGGTCAACACGGGCAGATGGTGGGCTTAGGCAGTACCTATCCCTGCCCCTGGTTACGCCTTGAAACACCTACCCCCACGTTGGGTTGTGGTATCGCCCTTGTAATGGAAGACAAATTACTAGGAAAATTTCTGTTATCTAACACGATCAGAGAATAGGGCAGTCTGCTTCCAGCAAACATTTCTCTTACTTGAACTTTTTTGTATGTACCACACAGAGTTGATCAATTTCAGAGACTTCAACCCTTGTAAAATGTCTTTGACACCTAAGCCATAATAAGTTGAGTGTTCTCTTTCTTCAGTGATGCAGGGCCATGTAGGGTTGTGCAGGGCCTCAGAATCATCCCTTCTTCATCATTGCCCACCATGAGGGGTTGGGAAGAACACTAGACTAGGAGTTGGTGGGCACAGGCTCTTCCATAGACTGGATAGTGACCTTGGACACACCACTTCCCCTCTCTGAGCCTCCAATTCCACAATAAATAAAATAGGGGGTGGGACTTCATGATGTCAAAGGTCCAACATTTTTCTGAGTCTGAGAATGGAAGAGCCATGCAGTCTAGTTCCTCAGCCTTCTCTTCCTTGGGCACTCATAGACTCCTGGAGTGAATTTCTTAGCTTGCCCTGAAAGTGTAAGAAGTGCTTCAATGGCCCCTTCTCCGCGTTGCCCTCCCCCGCTCCCACTCGTGCTGCGTGACTGAAAAGGGCATTCACTCTTCACACGGGCTGGCAGGCCAGAGTTCTGCTTTGGCTGGCGGTGTCTTGGGGATCGCCTTGTCTCCAGAAGCAGCAATAGTGGAGGGCTAACAGACACTTTTGCTTTGTCCCCCACCCCTACTCCCACAGCTGGTGGCTTCCATCGTCTTTATCAGCTTTGGTGTGATTGCAGCCTTTTGTTGTGCCATAGTCGACGGGGTCTTCGCTGCCAGACACATTGTGAGTATTTTTAGTCCTGGGTTAAAGTAAATGGGCAATACAACAAGGCTTCATCGAGTGTGTGTGTGCTGGGTGTGTGCTAAGGGCTGTGAGGGGTACAGGAGAGGGAGGTGACATCACCGGCCTCAAGGAGGTGACGTTAAAATGAGGACATCCCTGGACACACACGGGCATCTAGAGAAATTGGTCTAAGCTGGGCATATAAACTCTAAGTGCCCAAGTGGTTTACCTTGGATCAGAGCAGGCTTCCCCATGGTGGAGGGGTTGGAGCTAAGCCTTTGTTGACACGTGGGTGACATTTGGAAAAGTCAGAGACAAGGGCCAGGGGACTGGCTTGGAATTGGTGTTGGGAGTGAGCAGGTAGGGAGAGAGCCGCAGGAAGCCACATGACTTCCTGAGAGCCTTGGAGGTGGCAATAGCTGACCTCCCCCACCTCCAACAGTGACAAGAGCAGCCCATGAGGACAGACACCTTTTCTAGGATACCTGAACTTCGCTGTCTTCATGGTTGGAGAGGAGTGATGTGATTGGGATCCGGAGGAAGCCCCAGAGCTGGGAGTCTCCAAAACGAGCCCAGTTCTGGAGTAGAGGCGCCAAATGCTTCCTGTTCTGGAGAAGCTGTGCCTCGAGTAAGGCTACTTTACTCCTGAAACCCAAACCTGTGCTCCTTCTTGGAGAAGCCTGGGATTCGGGTCCTTCCCACAGGGCTCCCTGCAGGAGCCCTCACCCCTCGGTCGGCGCTTTCCATCTCTTACGATTCCAGATATCTGGCCTAGGGCCGCCTTCTCTGTTGGGCTCAGCAGACAACAGTGCCTGTGACCCGCGGACTTTCAGGGTCCCAGAAAAATATGATCATTTCTTTTCAAATCAGAAGAAAAATGATGAACTTTTAGGCCAAAAAAAATGTTTTCACACATAATAGAAATTTGTCTTTATACCAATGCAGTCATAAGATATAATCAAAATAAATGAAATATCATTTTCAACAATTTTTAATGGAGGAAGCTGTCCACAAAAGGCAGAAGTCCCAGGGAGGTCATAGTATAGCCCTGATCTGGCCCACAAACCCAAATCGAGAGCAAACCAAGCAGCTTCCTGAGCTCCCACAAAAACCTCAGATACTCATTTTTTCCCCCAAGTGAACCAACATTGAAAATGAAAACATCCTATGAACTAGTTGGAATTATATGTTTTCTAAAACAATTGAATTAGAGAAAAATTGTATTATCAGAATATTGTGTGGATCCATCATATTTTATTCCATTTCAATCGTTGGCTAATAGTGCAGGTCATCCTGAGGGAGTGTCCTGGGTATGGATGGATCTGGGAAAGGATGATTTGCATTATTAACATAATATTAACATTTGCATATGATTAACATTATTATTTCAATCCCAACTTGCTCTTGGACTCTCCTCCTAGACATAAGAGTCAGTCCCTCATTTGCCAAGATTAGTGGAATTCCTATGGTCAGTGCTGGCATGTCAGGAGATAATTACTGGGCAGGGGGAAAAGTATGGGATGGAAGAGAGAAGCTTTTAGCCCAGTTTTCTTTTGGGGTCAGGAATATGTCAGCCCCTATATCAGACTCATCCCTTTTGAGTTTAGCTGAGAGAGCCATCTTTTTCTTCATCTTTTTCTTTTTGAAAAGGCAAGTGACACAACAGGAACTTGTAACATCCACTATCCTACCACCCTAACATAGCAATTCTATTGCATATGCAATTTTTGCATATTACCCTCTGAGTATATACCTATTTTTGTAGCATGCTTGTAGACAATCATAGTACGTGTGCTATTTTGTTTCAACAGGCGCCATCTTAATAACAATAATTCCTTGTTTTTGTATAGTGAATTTAGTGTTTCAATGTGCCTTAACATCTATTATCTCATTTGAGACCCACAGCAATCCTGTGAGATATGTAGGGCAGGTGTTATTATCCCCATTTGACAAGCGCTCTTCACTCCGAGGCAGTCTCCATGGCAACATAGGCCTAGTGGCCAAGAAGCCTGCAGTAGATTTTCATGGCATCATGAGCTAAAATGGCTTCCTCCTTTTCCCTCCTCCTCCCACTCCTAATGTTTCTTTTTTTAAACATCTTTATTGAGATATAGTTCACGTCCCATATAATTTACCCATCTGAAGTATATAATTCAGTGGCTTTTAGTACATTCACGTGTATGTGCCAACTATCACGTCAATTCTAGAAGATTTTTATCATCCCCCAAACAACCCCATACCCTTTAGCTATCACTTCCCTATTCCCCCTGCTCCCCCAAGTCCTAGGCAACCACTACTCTACTTTCTCTATAGATTTCCCTATATTAATTAACATTTCCTGTTAATGGCATCATATAATATGTAGTCTTTTGTAACCTGACTTTTTTTACTTAGTATGATGTTTTCCAGATTTATCCATATTGTAGCATGTATCATTGCTTCCTTTCTTTTTATGGTCTAATAATATTCCATTGTATTGATATACCACATTTTGGTTATCCATTCACAAGTTGATGGACATTTGGGTTGTTTCCACCTCTTGGCTGTTATCAATAATGCTGCTATAAACATTTGTGTTCAAATTTCTACGTGGACATATGTTTTCATTTCCTTTGAGTATATACCTATGATTGGAAGTACCGGGTCATATGGTAACTACGTTTAACCTTTCGATGAACTGCCAATTTTCCAAAGTGGCTGCACCGTTTTACATTCGCACTGGAAGTATCTGAGTGTGCCAGTCTCTGCACATCCTTGCCAACTCCCGTAATTATCCGACTTTTAAATTCTAGCCATCCTAGTAGGTATGAAGTGGTTTCTCATTGCGGTTTTGATTTGCATTTTCCCGACTCCTAAACTCCTAAAGGTTTTGATCACTGGCCTCAGCCAAAGGCAATGCGAGAAAAATCCAAATTATATTTATTGGAAGTTTCTTCCAGCTTCTGAGTCTAGGCCCTCTGTACCTCCTGCCGTTAGTGGCTTGCAGTAGAGCATTTGATTCGGGAGGTTGGAGTAAGGCTGGAGGAGTCTTTGAGAACAACTTTTTGCCTACATTGTACCTGTCCTAAGACATCTGCCAGTCCTCACTGGTACCCAGACAGTTTTGAGGGAGAAGGCTTTATTAATCTATGGTGATGTCTGTTGGCCAGTTTAAATGAAAGGCACGTTTGGACCCCAGCACCGCTCAGGTGGGTTAGAGCCAGCCTTTCCTGTTGTTGGAGCCCTTTAACCTCCTGGTGCCCTGTCCTTTGGCTTGGGGACATGTGCACTTCCCCTTAAGACCTACTTCCTGACCCCCCTCTAAATGTGTCTCATTCCTTCTCTCTCGTCTCCAGTTTCCTTCCTTTCCCCTCCCCGAATATAGCAATTAACTAGCTGGGAAAATCCCTTTCCCTCCTCATGCCCAGTCTCTCCTCTTCCACGTGGATGTGATAGTAACCTGGTTGCCTCTCAGGGTTAACATGAGGACGGTATGAAATAATGGGTGTGAACGCGCCCTGAGAGGGCCTCGCCCAGAGCACACTGACACTCAGCAAGAAGCAGTCTCGTGGCCAGCCCTCCACTCCGGAGTCGCTAGCCCTTCGGATGGAAAAGGCTGCGCGGCTAAGTGGCCTTTTCTTACTGGCCAGTCACATGGGCTTGTTCCTCCCCTGGGGCCTCAGTGCACAAGAGCACCCAGAGGCAGCATATGGGCGACCATCACACACACACGTCTGTCTTCATTTAGGCAGTTGGTGGCTGAATGCTCTTTGGAGAACCAGGAGGTCAGGAGGGCTCCGACCAGCACATCAAGCCTCCCCTTCGGCAGGATGATGATGACTTCTGCCATTGCCCAAAGTCGGAAAATAAACCCTGCTGGCTGGCAGTGACCATGAGAACCCTCATTCCTTTCCAGCCTGACTCCAGGCTGAGCCCACAGGGCAGTGTACTTTCAGAACACGGAGCGGTCAGGACATTCATGTGGAAGCAGCTGATGGAAGGTCCTAGGTCCTTGACGGGGCAGCAGGCAGGGAGGCAAGGAGGCACTTGGGTGTCTGGTGCAGGAGATGCTCAATCACATGTGTGGGGAAAAGCAGCCACCAGGATTATTGAAAACGGTGAGAGAAGTGGGTTTAGGGGGAAGGAGGGGCAATAGATAAACTCCCTCTGCCAAGGTGCTTTTGGCCGAGTTCCAAAGGTCAGTTTGCATAAACTGCTTGTCCTGTGCTAACCTGCTTTTGGTCGAAGCCCCCTACCAGTCAGGGGATGTTTACTGTCCCCCGGAAAGTGGGCAGCATCCCCTGACTGACAGTTTCCAGGTAGCACTGGATTGCATCTATCTGTTCCACCCCAGCCCCTGTGTCTGAGAGCTCCCTCACCAGGAAGCTGCCCAAGCCAGCAGGGTTAGTCAACTGTCCTTGAGCCCCATGTTAGTTTTCTGGGCTTCAGTGGTATTTTTGGAGTTCACTGTCTTTAATCTGTGTAATTGAGTGAAAATGGCTCATCATTCAGTTGAGTTAAAATCTACAGCAGGCTCCATGGCTACCCATCCCCCTGGGGCTTGCTTCCTGAGCTCTTCCTTCTGAAAAAGCTGTGGCAATGACAGCAGAGGGTACGTGTCAGCCAGCCCTGGTCCTGTCCCCAGGTGATAATGAATCCTCATTGTTGGAGCTGGCCTCCCTCCGATTGGGAGTGTGATGTTGCAATAAGTTGGAGTTTTGACTTTTGTTCCCTGGGGACTCTTTGCAAAGAGACAAAGACTAGAAATAAAAGACAACCAGAGTGGAAATTTCAAGAAACCCACTTCTCAGTCAATTTCCTAATTTCTCATTAACCAAGTGGCCCAATAGAAAGCAGTTATTAGAACATTTTTATCTGATCCTCACATTCTCAGGCTCCCTAGATGGGCAGCTTTCAGAAATCAACCCAACCCACTACCTGCTCTGGGGTGTGTGTGTGTGTGTGTGTGTGTGTGTGTGTGTATTCAAATCTTTTATTACCAATCAGAGCACTTGCTGCTCTATTTTCCAAAGCCAAAATCCATTTGGTTTGGTGTTTCCGTTTCCAGGATCTGAAACCACTCTATGCTAACCGGTGCCACTATGTGCCCAAGACATCCCAGAAGGAAGCTGAGGAGGTAAGAGCCAGAAGGAGGCTGCACGTCTTACCTTTGGGGAAAGTCTCCTGTTCTGCCTGGAACCCCTTTTCTTTTACTCTTTTTCCCAGGCCTACAGCTTGCCACAAGGTATGTTTAGTTGATTTGTTCGGTGGGTCAGAGCACAGTGCTAATGGGGCCATGGTCATAGGTTAGAGCCTCATGAGGCCTAATCAGATTCACTTTGTTCTGTGGCCACAGGCTGCCCCTCTGACCCCAGCAGGCAGCCTCTCAGTGTGTGGCTTTGATCCCGAGAGGGACAGACGAAGAGTACAGAGGCCACAGGGTAGGTCCCTCCCCCATGTCCGTGGATGATGGTTCAGCTGCCTGGACTTGATGTCCAGCTGGAAGAAAAGTGGGAGCCCCACCAAGGCAGCAGACCTGGACCGGGGAGGCAGAGTCTGAGTCCCACATATGGGAGGGGTCAGGAAGCCAAATGAGGGTCACTGAGAAGCCTTGTCCACTTTGAGGCTCTGGGGAGGCCTGTCACGACACGCCCGGAGGCCAGTCTGTTGCTGCTTGAGTGGACACGTGAGGGTGTGTCTCTCCTGCCCCGCATGGCTCTCCTTGGGTTCCTTGTTGTCTCACACAGAAGCAGAGGCAGTGGGCGGTGAGGTGAAGCTCGGCTCCAGCTCATTTTTGGAGAGCTTTCATTTCAGCTCACATTCACCTCTCTCCAATCCAGAGAGCCCTTTAATATAAAACTCTACCATGTGCTTCTAGCAACCTCGACCATTTGGTTCTCTATTAACTTCAAATTGAAAGTCAATGCCCCCCCCCGCCCCTGAGAATAGTTAGAAAAATGGTAAACTTGTGACTGTTAGAAAAAGGTGGCAAGTGGATATAAAATGGTGACTGCATTGCATAACTTCAGGGGAAGCTGTTTTCCTTGACATACAGTGTGAACAGTGCCATCCACTTGCCCCATTTTCCTTCCCCAATCACCAGTTTACCATTTTTCTAACTATTCTCGGGTTAGAAAGGAGTAGAAAGATGTATGTGCCAACAGCTTATCAGAAAGGCATGAGCTTTTGGATGAAGGACCCAATATAGAAAAAAGTGCGCGTTTACCACCAATATTCTCTATAACACAGTGAAACAAATTTACAAGCACTTCATTGCATCCATATGGGGCGGGGCAGAGCCTGGAAGATTTCTCACAAATAAGAGATGATAAATGGAAGTTAATTTTTACATTTTTTTTGCAAACACGAGATGTGTAAAATGTCATTGCTATTCTCTGGATTTCATCGTGTTCTCATTCTTGTGTTAACTTGGTGACTGTAAAAATGTTAATAATGACTTCCATAGGTTCACTTGTAACCCTGGTCCCCCTAACCCTATTTTTCCTATATAAGGTCATAAGTTCCTCAACCAAAAATTCTCCTTCTGCGAGGGTTATGAGGAACCTTACCCAGGCAGCTCGAGAGGTACTACTGTACTTCAAAGTGCATGTGATGGCCCCTCTGTCTTCCTTCCCATCTGGTCCCTTTCCCCCATACCCTGATTTCCCGCCCCTTGTATCCTCATTTCCTACCATCCATTTGTTCTTCTGTCCGTCCTTCCATCCGTCCTTCCTCCTCTCCATCTCCACCCTTCAGGGACGGGGCCCTGAGGGCTGTGGCCGAGGCTGCACGTGAGCCCAGCTCCACAGTGACTTGCCTCACACACGAGTTCAGCCAGCCACCTGCCCAGCCCCATCCTGCCCGTGCATTGGTGTATTCATTTCACAGCCATCCTTACCATCTCCATCAGTCACTAACTCACAGTGCCAATCCCAGAGGGTCCCACCTCCCATCCAGTGCCAGCTCACCTACTCACTGTGGTGTGTCCCCAGGTGAACTGCCCTCACCTCAGCCGTGGATTCTGCACACCTCGCATCCGGGGCAATACCTGCTTCTGCTGTGACCTCTACAACTGCGGCAAGTGAGTGCCGAGCCCCTGATGGTTTGACCACAGTGGGCACGAGCAGGGCTAGGGTGGGGGAAGGGCGCATGGTAGGGATCAGAGAAGTAGAAGACATTGGTCTTCAAAGGATTTCAGCTGACATGCATTACATGCCTTCTCTGTGCCAGGCATTATGCTAGGTGCTGTCAAGTATCTGATCTCATTTAATTCTTACCTATGATGTATGTAGAATTATTATCCCCATTTTACAGATGATAAGACTGAGGCTCAGAGGAAACAGACAGCTAGTTCAAGGTGACACAGAGTTCGAAAATGGTAGAGGTCGGGTTCACACTCAGTTCTGTCTAAGTCCAAGTTCAACAACATTCAACAAATAGCCTGACTCTGTTCCAGACGCTAGAGATTCAGCAGCAAACAAAACAAAATTCCTTGCCCTCACAGAACTTAGATTTTGGTGCTAGTTCTGCTACAACCACTCTGGCGCTCTGCCCCTCAATTGTTAAAACATCATTTATTCTCTTTCAAGACATATTTAGGTGCCAGGAATACAGAGAGTCCTGCGGAGAAACTCGCAGACTAGCAGGGATGACCGACCTGTGAGCCATTGATTGCAGTCTAGTGTGAGAAGTGCGGTGTGGATCTGGGGGGTGTACTGGAGACCCTCTCTATGCAAATGACTGGAAGTCAGAGTCACTGGGGGCAAAGGGGGGCGTGTCAAGGAGGAGGGTATGTGGGAGCTGAGATTTAAAGGATAAGGAGGGAGTTAGGAAACAAACCTAAGTGGGGTGGAGGTGAGGAGGGTCTTCCCAGAAGTTGTGGGGGAGGTGAGGGCAGAGCGCTGGTCACAGATCAGATCATGGAGGGCTCACTGGCCATAGGAATGCCTCTGGACTTGACCCTGTGAGCAACTGGGAGCCATTGAAGGGTATAGCGTGCAAGATGGATTTGAGTGGTTAGAGACTGGAGGCTACTAGGGGGCCACTGCAAGAGTCCAGGCCAAAGGGAACGGAGTCTAGATTAAGTTGGTTTGGGGATGGTGGAAAGCAAGGAGTACTTTTAAGAGCAATTTAGAAGGTGGAATAGACAGGAATGCGTGAGCAGGTGATGCAGAACATAAGTAAACGGCCCTGTACGTGGGGTGTGTCAGCCAGTGCCTGCCATGCACGTATTTTCTTTCAGCTATCAGTGCAGGGGTGCTGAGGAGGGGGAGGGTGGAAGGGAGGGAGGAGTTGGCAGAAGGGGCCCGGATGGAGCTAGGTCCAAAGAGGTCAGCAGGATGCACCCCTCCTCACTCACACTCCCTACTCATGGTTTTGGGGGGCCAGTGTCTCCGGTTTGAGGATTAAAGACCTGACAGACCAGAGGCAGTGGAGCGATGGGAGGAGAAGGGGGACTCTCGCCAGCCCTTTTACTTTCTTTGCTAGTACCGGTCTCATTTCGGTCTCATTTCGTTAAAAGGTTTGGCGGTGGAGGAAGAGAAACTTAAAGACTCAAATGAGGTTTGGGGATTATCTGGGAGATTCAATTATTCATGTTGTAATAATAACTAACACTTGTAAAGGACTTCCCTCCTTAGCGGTGATGGAGAGCTGGCTATAATTGTACTTCCTGAGCCCATCCTTCCAAAAATGATCAAAGGAATGTAAAATAGGTCCTAGGGGAATTGGGGTTAGTTCGCTATCTTTCCTCTTGCCTCCCCTTGTCCATCCCCCTCCCCCTGCTCAGTCCTCCCCTCTGTTTTTACCCCCTCCCTCCTTTTGACACCCCTTCCTCTGGCCAGCTCTCCTCTCCTCTCCTTTCCCTTTCCGTTCTGAGATCCCAGGAGGAGAGAGGAGGCCCGCTGAGAGGGCTGAGAAGTGATTCCTTATGGGTACACCTTTCTCTCCACAATTAGGTGTGTTTCTGAAAAAGGTCTGAATAAACTAAATCCTACCTTAAATTCCATTTAGCTGAGCCCTTAGGTGAATTTTTTTTAAGTGGAGACTCAAGCCCAATTTATCTTCCTGTCAATCTGAACTTCATAATAACTGACTTTCTTATAGCAAGTCGTGCCAGGATCGTCTTCAAGGCCCTAAAGGAATTTTATGAGGAGCTCTGCTAAACTCTGGGCTCCCTAAAGGCAGCGAACACAACTTCATCTTATCTTTATCCTCAGGCCCCGGCACAGGACCAGGCTTGAATGAAAGACCTGATGACAAGGGAGTGACATGTGTTAAAAAGGATCAAAAAGGAACACCCTTTTCCCCAGGAAAATAAACTATTGGACCAGACAACTAAGAGGGTTCATGGGGACACTGCCCCTAACGACCTTTGAGCTGGAAACGCTGTTCACCTACCTGATGCCTGGGGACCAGCCTCAGGCGGCGATCGAGGCCTTGCCCAGGTCTGTAGCGTTGAGATTCCAAGGGCAAAGCCACTAGAAAAGCACTTACTGAGCTTTTCATCAGGACACAGTCCCATGCGGTCAGAAAGCAAGGCGCGAGACTTAAGAGGTGATGATCCTACAATAGAAGGAAAAGATTTTCTTTGACCCGAGACTTTTTCCAGCCAGCTCGAAGGAGACCTAATCTCCAGGCCTAAATATAGCTAGCTGCAAGCATTCTGAGGCTCGGAGACTTTAATTTTGCCGAATGCGTATTTTTTTTTCCTCACACGAAGCCTATTTTTAATCAATTACCAGCTCCTCTAGTCCATTTCCTGGAAAGGAGGCCAAGAAAAAAACAAGTGGGAACAAAAACATCAGGCAGTCATTTGTCCAGCGCTACGGAAACAGAGTTTCTGCTGTCCCCTCGAAGCCACAGACCTTCTTTGACGTCAGGGGCAGAGAGGTTTTAATACCAAACATAGACGATTCCATTTCACCCTGTGCAGGAAGGTGGTTTCTCTAGGACGCAGCTCTGCAGCAGCTGCCTTTCAGCCTTCACTCAGCTTTGGAGAGGTCAAGTCAATATCACTGGTTTTCGGTGTGTAACCTAAAGGATGCGAAAGGAAATGGGCGTGGTTTGTGAACTGCCGCAGCTGACGATGAATAAAATGAAAGATGATAGCTCACTTTCATCCATTCCTCCCTTTGCCAAACTTTTACTGAGCTCCTACTGTGTGCCAGGGACTGTTCTAGAAGGATAGATATCCTTAAAATAACATTTTGCCCTTAAGGAACTCAATTTACCAGGGGGATTATGGGGAGGGGGGTTTAGACTGATACATAGAATACACGCAGTGAGAGAAAGGTGCACAGAGGCTGCCCATAGCCGCTGCCTGTCCACCAACAGTTGGTGAATAGTTCCAGGCCCTTGTGGAAGAGCAGAAGGATGCCCTTTGGCTTTCTCCAAGATCTGTTGCCTCCTACTCTGTTGAATGGGGACTGAAACACAGAGAGGTTATCTGTTTCTCCAGTCACACCCGGCAAGTTGGGAGCAAGGGGGTAAAAGCCCGCACTGGGTAATCAATCTTATGATCAATGCAATGATCCGTCTTTGAACTCAGTTACTCATTCACCAAGTATCTGTTGATGACCCATAACATTTCTACCACCCAGCTAGGAGGCAGTGAGGGAGACACAAAAGAAGTGTAAGAGATGACCTCGCCCTCCAGAGGTTAGAATTTAGACGGCGCCGTCGTGTCCACCTTGGCCTTGGTTGTGGTTTTAGCGCCCAGCACGGTACTCAGCACTGGGTAGGCTCTCGGCAAATATCAGATGAAATGAATAGCTGAATTATTGACATATGCAACGTGCCAAACTGAGAAGAACAGACTGAGGCTGTGGGAGTCCAGGTACAAAGCTAATGAATAGGTGCTGGAGTCCTTGAAGAATGAGAAGTGTGTGTTGAAGCTTTGCGCAGCGGGAGAGATCAGGACAGGCAGAGAACAGAGGGCAGTACCTCCCACGCAGGGGGAGAAATCTGAGCAAAGGTCTGGAATAAGTACCCAGCATGGCCAGTTTGGTGCTTCTGAGGATTCCAGCCTGGCTGGAATGTGGATTCCATTTTGGAGTTGGATTATGGCAGACTGAGGAATTGGGATACTTTTTCCTGAAGGTAATGGGGAGCCAGGGAAGGCTTTTGATTAAATGAATGACTTAGTTTTACAAATGTGTTAGGAAGCTGAACCAGGCAGTGATGGGGTCCGGCAGGAGGGCGCTGCAGTCACGGAGGCTTGAGGGTGGGAGCAGTGAGAATCCAAACGATGGAATATCAGGCAAAGCTCTGCCCAGAGACTGAACCAAATGGAATCGTGAATCTCAAACAGAAACAAACCACATTAATTAGCTAAACCCTGAACCAGATCTAGTATTAATGTTCTTTTGCTTCACGGTTCAGTTAAAAAATCATTTTAGTAGCTGCTGAACCCACTCAAACTGAAACCAAACATATATTCTCTACAATTAGTGAATACTTTTAAATGAACTACTAACCTAGCCCCATGTTGTGGTCTGTGCTTTTAAAGCGTCACTGCCTTTAAGAACATGATTCAAAGGTTTGAATCATTTTGCCAGAGGTTGGCTCTTAAAAGGGAAAAAACACAGCTACATGTTTTGGGGGGGGGCCCTTACAATGTGCTAGAGTACTGCTTCCGTGCATTCGCTCATGAAATCCCCTGGGCTCAGAGAAGTTAAGAAAGTTGCTCAAGGTCAGACAGCAAATAAGTGACAGAGCCAGGGTTCAAATGCAGTCTGATTCCAGAGTCTGCTCTGCTGTACCACCCACCTGTATGTGCTACCAGCCCACCCTCGGTGTTTTAGGACATAAGCAAAGATACCTGGGGAGAGGTCAGAAGCTGATTCTCAAGCCTCCCCTGCACCCCTACAACCCCACACTTGCCCTTATACACAGGCCTGCCTTTTTCAGGGGAGAGTCCTTGTACAGCGGTGCCTTTTTGAGCGGTAAGTAATCTGTGTATCCTCCCTGCCGCATCCCCAGGCTCGAGTACCATGCCAGCTAATAGGAGACACTCAGTGTATGCTTCCAGGTGGTGTCCAGCTATGTTCCCGAAAAACCTGAAATCTAGCTCAAATTCTGATGAATTGAAACACCATTAAAATTTCACTATGGAAGCTTACCATTTAAAACAGCGGGTCTCAAATATCAATGAGCTCATTAACACAGATTCCAGAGGCTCACCCCAAGAGATTCTGCCAGATTTAGTAGGACTGTGGCTGGGCCTCAGAATCTGCATGTTTAACCATCTCTTTCTCAAAGATGCATGCACACACACACACAGACACACACAAATAACACAGTGACATAGGCAGGCACATAGACACACAAACACAGATTTTGACGCAGCCTGTCCTGTAACCACACTGATTTCAATTCTTTAAAGAAGCACTGGTTTTAAAGAATTCTAAGATAATTCATCTGTAAAGTTTAAAAGTCTTCTGTGAATAATCTCTCCCTGATTCATTTTGGAGGTTAACGTTTAATTTTTTTTTCTTTTTCATTTTCTATATTCTTATAGCAGGGGAGTCACACATAACTATCCTGATGCCAGGGGGTTTGGTTCTAAGTTTAATTGTAAGAATCACAGTGTTTAAGATTCATTATTGATTCCAGTGGCCAAGTTGTAAACTAGTTTGCAACATCCAGGAAGACAGGAGCTTCCATTTAATTAATTTAACCAGTATTTATGTAGTACCAACTATGTGTCCAACACAGCAATGAACAAAACAAACCAAGTCCCTACCCTCATGGAGCTCACATTCAAGTTAGGGAGACAGACAGTAATGAAGCACACACATTAGTAAGGAGTAAGTGCTGCAGAGGATTTAGGGAAGGGAAATTAGCTTGGGCTGCCATAACAAAATACCATAGACTGGTTGGCTTAAACAACAAATCTTTATTTTCTCATAATTCTGGAGGCTGGAAGTCCGAGATCAGGCACCAGCATTGTCAGGTTCTGGTGAGGGCTCTCTTCCTGGCTTGCTGATGGCCACCTTCTTGTTGTGTCCTCACGTGGTCTTTCCTCAGTGTGTGCATGCGTGTGGAGAGTTCTCTCTTCCTCTTTTTGTAAAGCCACCAATCCTATCAGATTAGGGCCCCACCCTTATGATCTCATCTAACCTTAATTAACTCCTAAGAGCCCTTCTCCAAATACAGTCACCTTGGGAGTTAGGGCTTCAATATATGAATTTTGGAAGGGAACACAATTCAGTTCATGGCAAGTAGTGGGCTAGAGAGTGACCAGGCTGGGTGGGGGTGGGGATGTCTTTGGACAGAGTGGTCAGGGAAGGCCTCTCTGAGGAGGTGATATTCAGATTTTGTGCAGGAACTCAGCTTTAGTACTTTATTGGGATGTTGTTTTTTGTTTGTTGGTGTTTTGTTTTGGGAGAGGAAACACTGAAATCTTTGAAGCCTGAATTCAGATCCCAGCTCTACCGCTTACGACTTGAGGAAATTCCTAACCTCTCTGTGCTTCAGTTTCTTCATCTGTGAAACGGGAATGGTGGTAGTACTTACCTCACACAATATTGTAAGGATTTGCAGCGCAGCCTAATAGAACTTTCTGTGATGATGGAAATGCTGTAATCTGCTGTGTCCAGTACAGTAACCAGCCACTAGTGTGGCCCTTAAAATAGTGGCTGCTGAGCACTTAACATGTGCCTGGTGAGACTGAAGAACTGAATTTTTTACTTAATTTTAATAGTCACCTGTTGACTAGAAGCCGCCATATTAGCACAGATGTAATGAATTCATGTCTGTAAAATGCTTAGCCCCTTGCCGGGCACATAGCAGGTGTCGATAATTGCCACCTAGGATTAGCCTTAGCTGATGGTAACAAGTGTTTCTCTGGCAGGTAGGAGGGTTTCGGGGATAAACTTTAGTCACACTTTGATTGATTATCGTATCTTGCTCCCCGAGTGCATTGTTGGCTACGATGTCCCTTACGATAGCTCCCCACCTGCCCATCTGTCTTTTCACTGAGCCGCATGGTAGCCAAAGCCCTAGAGGGACAGCCTGCTCCCTGGAGACTGACTGGATGTGCTTCTCCCCGTCCAGCCGGGTGGAGATCACCGGTGGCTACTATGAGTACATTGACGTCAGCAGCTGCCAGGATATCATCCACCTCTACCACCTGCTCTGGTCTGCCACCATCCTCAACATCGTCGGCCTCTTCCTGGGCATCATCACTGCCGCTGTCCTGGGGGGCTTTAAGGACATGGTAAGGAAGGAAGTGACTTCCCATCCCACAGAGGCCCCTCCTCCTGTCAGGGCTGGGGCGAGGCAAGACGGTTGGGGGCAATGGGGACCCACGCTTTGAAGGGAGGAACAGAAACCGTTGGTTCAAGAATGTAGCTGCCTTTGGGACTTCCCTGGCGGTCCAGTGGTTAGGACTCCGTGTTTCCACTGCAGGGCACCCGGGTTCGATCCCTGGTCGGGGAGCTAAGGTCCTACATGCCATGCAGTGGGGCCAAAAAAAAAAATGTAGCTGGTTTCAAACAGCTCAAGTCGAAGGAGCCAGGTGATGCCATCAGCCTGCAGGCATTTCTTGTTAACATGAGTTGCCTGTGTGTTTTTTTTTTTTTTTTTTTTTTTTTTTTG